GATACATGATAGAGTATTTGGGTTTACCATATGAAGATAAAAGATATCTTAAACCTGAAGAATGGTTTGGAGTACTTAATTAAGCTCCATTCAACACACATGTCCTTGTGAATTTACCATATATCAAGGATGGTGATAAATACATCTATGAGAGTGCTGCTTTATATGTTTATTTGGCACATAAAGCAAATAGAGCTGATCTCTTAGGATCAACACCAGATGAATAAGTTGCTGTAACTTAAGTCAGAGGTGTCATTTAAGATGCTTTAAAAGGATTCTTCCATATTATCACATTGCCAGAAGATTAATATGCAGCCAAGAAAGAAGAACTTTATGCAAATGAAGTCGCTTGGTTAATTGAAAGATTAGATAAATTCATTGAAGGAAAAGCATGGGCAGCTGGAGCCAATCTTACATACATTGATTTTGCTCTTTTTGAATTAGAAGAAACATTGAAATCTTTCCATCCAGAATCATGGGCAAAATTTACTAATCTTTAAAAACATCATCAAGAATTCTCAAATATTCCTTAAATCAAAGATTATCTTGCTTCCGGAAGATTCCTTGCTGGACCCTTCTATCCACCTGGCAGATTTAGATGGGGATTCTGATAATCATAATAAAAATATATTATTATCACATTAAATGTTTTTTTTCAAGAAAAATTTTCAATTTCTATTTTATTATTCATTAATACACAGCTTTTAATATGAGCCTTTCTAAAAAATAATTAGATATTAATTTATATTTATTTTCAATTATATTGTAATTACTACTAAAATTTTATTCATCAAATTTTCAGTATTCATTAACAAAATACTCTTTATTAATTATTAAACCTAAACTTTATACATATTAATGAATTGTTAAAACTCTTGATTTATATCATAATTTTTTAATATACTTATTGTTGATCCTTAATAAAAAAATAACCAAAGTTTATTAAAATTATTTAATTTACTTCTAAAATTTATTTTTTAAATAATATAATTCTTTATATATAAAATTTTATTTGAAAACATGATATAATTTATTATGATATCAGAATTCATTAATTTTAGGTATAATATTTAAATGAAAATATATCAACGGAGAGTTAAGATGATTAGTCATAATCCTAATGATTATTTATTTCATGCTCATTATAATAAACATTAAATATATTCATAAATTGTATATTTAAATTAATTTTTATTATATCTAATCAAAGATGTTTATAAAAATCAATTTTTTTAAATTGTATGATAGATTACATATTTTTATGTTTGATAAAATGGATAATTCTTTTATAACTTCTCATACAATTTATAGCTTATAAAAAATATTATCTTTTGATAGATTAATGTTGAATAATATAGAAATATTTTAATTATTTTTGTGATGAATTAATACTTAAGAATAAATTTAATATTAATATATTAAGCTGATTATAAAAAAATATCATAATGAAAGGTAGAGAATTATAATACTAAGAATAAAGGTTTAAAATTGCAATGTAGTAAATCTGAAATGAGTTTTAGTAGTAGTTATGAATTAAAAATGAATGAACAATAATAATGTTTAATAAATTTAGAATGAATTCATCAAAATTCTAAGTACCCTTTTAAGTATTTTCCTGTATCTCTTGTTAAATTTTCAATCATATTATGTTAATCTTTAACATTCCTCCATTATTGTGTTTATTCATCATAATAATATTAGAACAGATTAAATGGTGTTTATAAATATAATCTTCTTTCCTTGACATTAGTTGTAAAATTATATTCGCCTAAATCTTTGACAGCTACACATAATGATAGAGTATCTGATTTAATATGAATTCTATTTTCATATTCCTTAAGTTTATTGAATGATTATTCAACTTAGTGTAAAATATAACCAATTTCTCCTAAGAATTGTTCTTGAGAGATGAATGCTCTAAAATAGAATATTATAGATACATTTTAGGCTAAGTTGCGAATCGATAAAAAGTAATAAAATTACTCCTCAAATAAAACATAATTAATGATTTTAGAATAAATTTAAGATTACCCAAGATTAGAATCATTTCTATACATATTAGGAATATTAGGATTACTTAAATTATTGAAAGTCTTAAATTTAATTTGGTAATTGATACATCCAAGTACTAATCTATAAAAATATGGAATTGGATCGTGGGTTTTAATAACAGGAGCATCAGATGGGATAGGAAAGTAATTAGCAATATAGTTTTCATAAAAAGGATTTAATATAATTTTAGTAGCTCGTAATAAGTAAAAGTTAGAGGTTGTAGCAAAGTAATTAAAAACTTAGTCACATATTATCGTAACAGACTTTTCTTAATCAAACGATAAAAATTTATTCGATCAAATTATGAATTAAATTGGTAATAGAGATGTTAGTATTTTAATAAATAATGTCGGAGTTGATGTACTTAACAAATTCCATATGTTATCTGATGATGAGGTTTATAATACAATAATAGTGAATTGTTTACCAATAACGATGCTTTCTAAGAGATTTATTCCTAGATTCTTACAAAGAAATAAATAAAAATCAGCAATTATTAATGTTACCTCCTTAGCTGGAAAATTTCCAACTCCATATTTTAATGTATACAGTGCTACCAAAGCATATGGAGAATTTCTTACGACTACTTTAAAAGCTGAGTATCCAGAATTAGAGATTTTCTCTCTAAGTCCAGGTGAAGTCTCAACAAATATGACTTAAAATAGACCACCAAGTTTTCTTACTATTTCTGCTTCAGATTGTGCTAATGGCCTAATTAAAAGAATGGGATCAAATACAAGTGGTCATTGGAATCATGAAATATAAGCAGCTTTTTAAAAAATTGTACCTGCTTGCTTCTATAATTTCGTATTGATCAAAGTTTTTATATAATTCATATATTTTAGATACTTGCACCTAAATGGCTTAAAGAAAGATCATTAAATTATAAACATAATAAAATTGACTGACTTAACAAACTTTCATATTAAATTTAACATATTTGATTCTTTCATATTATATGACAAGTGTGACTTAATCCATAGAAAACTCACCAACTTTCCTCCCTTGCTATGTAACTTAAACAAAAGAATAATCTATGGCTATCAATCTCAGTTGGAAGGCTTTACTTAGAAAAAAAAATTAGACTAAACGCCCCATTTCAAAGATTGTTCCAAGATTACCTGAGTCAATTAAATCAAAAAATATACCAAAAAATGTTGCTAAAGCTATCATATAACAAATCTTAAATAATAATGTCATGGATCAAATTGATGATTAAAAAGAATTTTTCAAATTCATCACTAAGAATAAAAAAATTTAAAATCTTGCTAATCTCCTTAAAGTAACTAGACCTCACAAAATACAAAGAATAAATAAATTACAAACTTAATTTAGACAAATTTGGTATTTCATAACATATATTTATTGTTTTAGTTGGAACTTCCTTAAAAAATAATATGTACCATATATATTCAATTCTAAAATTAAGAATCCAGAAGGACATTTATAATATAGAGTTCAATTAATGAAAGTTTTTGCTTAAAAATAATGATTTCTTTATATGTATGAATTTAATAAAATAATATAAATACTTACTAATTTGATAATAACTTAGTTAATATCAAAGACATATTTAAATTATTTTTATTTTAAAAACCTTTCATCTATGATTCATATTGAATATATTAAGAATTGTATTTAACGATTAAAAATATTAGAATAACTTTTCATAAATAAAATAATTCAAAAAAAATAAAAAAGATCATGTTTTACAAATTTATAATGAAAGCTGGAATTTAGACAATGAGATATCATATTAGACCCTGTATTGCTTATAGAATTATAGCTAACAATCACATAAACTTACATAATTTGAATCTCTTTTAGATTAATAATTTAACACCATTTACAGAAGAAGAGGAAAACGATTTTAATGAATTAAATTTAATGAACTGTTTGTCGGAGGTGAAATCTCTATAAAAAAATTGAGTTTAAGAAATATAACACCATTATTTACATTTTTGAAAAATAAATAGAGAATGAAATAACATTTTAAAAATGAAAAATTGATACATAAACCAAAAATATCCAGATTATGTATTTGTTGCCAATTCATTTTTTTCTGTTCATATCTTTTTTATCTTTAACATCTTTCTCGTTAGGTTTCTTTGATTCACCTTTAACTTAATCTTTGTTATTTTTAGTTCCTTTTTTACTATTTTATTATTTTTTAATATTTACTTATCCTTGTCATCCTTTTTTTTATCATCTTTTTTAATTTAATCATTTTTTTCATTCTTATCAACTTTTTATTATTTTTATTAAGCGGTCTCTTCTTCATCTTTCATTTTTCTAGGACCTCTTTTAAAAGGAGGTAATTCTTAATATAATAAATCTTATTTTGTAGCAGATCTTTTAAACTTCTCTTCAACTAATAATTCAAATTATTCTCTTTTCTCTGAATATTTTCTAATTATTAATTTATAAATTTTTACTTTGACCATTCTTCCATTTACTTATGATATTTTTCTAGCTTTTTATCAAATTCATCATCATACTTCTTTCTTTCTTTATTTGAAAGCTGATTAAATTGATCCACTAAAGCTTTTGATACTTATGCTTATGTAAAATCAGGATGTTCTTCAGAATATTACTTTCTATTCTCTGCTAAATAAACTAAACAACCAGATACAGGTCTCTTTGGTTTCTCAGGAATTTCTATTAAAGTTTTGTACTTTTTCAAATCTTATGCACTCCCTCCATAATACATAAGTAAATCTTCTTTATATTTTGCTTCCATTTTTTCAAAATCATCCTCATATTTTTCTTTTTCCTCTTCATCTAAACCTCTCCACATATCTCTTATCTTTGTTAAGATTTCTTAGGGTTTCATTTTACCATCTTTTTTCATTTGAGGTGCTTTTTCAGCATAAAAAACTTATAAAGGAGATATACACTATCTTTTAGGAGGTTACTTTAGTGTTCCACTTCTTAATTACATAATTTGAGAGGGTATTTCAAATTTAAATTTTATATTTATATATATTTTTGTATTTACATAAAAAAATTGAAATTAAATGTATTTTTTTCTGATTACAATATATCTATTCCAATTTATTCATCTATTTCTAATAAAAATCAAAATAAACTTCAATATTATAATATTAAGTATTAAAAATATAAATACAACTTGTATTACCTTTTATGTATCTTTATAAAATAAAATTGATATTAATCGTAAAACCATAAAAATTAGTTGTAATTCATTTTTCTATAGAATTCTCACATTAAATTTAAAATCAAGTCTTCCCTAGTCAAATTTCAATTCAATTTTAATCTATTTTTGTATAAATTAATGAAATATAAATTTTTTAAATACTTTTATTAAAAAAATAACTAATTCTAATTTCTCAAAATATATTTTGAACTATATATTTTATTTTCATCTTATTTCAATGAATCAAACTTTTAAAATGTATATATTAAAGGTTGATTTGTTGAAATTGTTTAATAAACTAAAAAAAAATTGATGTGTTACTATGACTTAAATAATTTATTTTCTTCGTTAAAAATAGCAAATTCTAAAATCAAGAAATGTAACTTAGAGAGTTCGATAAACATAGTTATAAGAAGTCGTCTTAATAAACTTTTTCATAGTTGAGAATGAAACATAAAATTCAAAAGTCTTTAGATGAATAATTTGAGTTGACATAGGTTTATATAAAGTATAATAATCATTTAATTTTTTTTAAAGAGGCTAGAGTTGGAAAGATGAATTTAGTTGGACTAAATATTGGGACTGACAAACATGGTGAAGTAGATGAATTAAGATCTTCCATTTCTTCATCTTTATTCAATATCTATAGAATTGGATTTGTTAATATTTCTTTTTAGATTTTCTTTTCATTTGCTTTCTTCATGAATCTGTTCTTTTAGATATTAAAGGCACTCATTCTAAATTATAATTAATAATTTATTAAATAAGAAATTTAGATTCATTTAAAATGCATATCTATAAATTACATAGAAATTGTATCAAATTGGATCATGTAGTTGAAGAACAAAAGTTTTTTTCAATTATTGATTGTAATGATTATTTGAATCAAGAGATCATTCAAGAGAAAAAAAAAGATTTTTATGATTCTGATTCTTAGAAATTCTCATTTTTATTAATTCACATCAATATTAATTAATTTAAAAGTTGATGATGAAATATATAAAATCCAATAAATATTCAATTTTATTTCTTCTTGATTTTAAAACAACTTATATTTAGATAAGTGGTTATTTAATTGATTACATTCTTAATAAGTATGAGAGTCAAATAAATGGTTGAAATAAATTAAATCCAAAACAATATAATTAAGTTTTCTAAGCTGAATGCAATAAAAAAAGGCTAATAAACTAATGATAATTAGGCGTAACTTTTCTAATTAGAAGAAAGACTTTTAATCTAAGATAAATATACTTTTGTTGTAGAATAAACAATAGTTTTAAAGACAATTTATGATAAAATAATTACAAAATTAATTTAAAGTTGTTCAGCAAGTTGATTTTAGATAGGAAAAGAAAACCATACTAATTCTATATGATAAATACTAATTTTTACAAAATGTCCAACAGCTCAATAAGGGTATCCATTCATTAAAAACTCTGATTGGATATCATTCCTAAAAACGGCAAAATTCTATTTAATTATGCACAAGAAATTATAAAAGGGTTTGATAAACCTGCTGGATATAAAGAAGGTTAATTTCAGAAAGTAATTTAGGATTTCATTATATAAAAGAGATTTTGTAATTAGATATAATTTTAACTAAAATAAGATGGAACTGGTTGTGTATAAATTTGACGATGAGAATTTCAATAAGACACGATGAAACTGGATTATTATCAATGGCAAATTCTGTATTCATATAAAAATGGATGTTAATTTTTTATTATTTGTACTAATTACGATTGGTTAGAGTGGGGAGAATTATGATTTCAATAAATTAATGATGTCATAGAATATTTTAATTATATGGAAATGGAAAATTTATGTTAATGTTATATTATGCATATTGAAAATTTCAAAATTTGCCTTAGTTTGATATTAAACTAAGAAGTTCATCCCCACAGTGCTCATCATATTTTTTTTCTATTTTAATGGTAGCTAAAGCTGATGTAAGTTATGTTATTTATTATTCACTGAGATTTAGTTATTTAATTTACTAATCTCCCATTTGCATTAATTTCTATTCAGAAATTTTAAACCCTTACAAAATTTTATATATACACTCTCCCTAAAAATAATTTATTTAAATTACTTCATTTAATTTAAGAATTTCCTCATAAAGTTTTTTTGAGTAAGTAAGATTTGAATTAGTTTAAACATTTTATTAAACTTTCATAGTGTAATTGTTGCCCATAATATGTAATTATTTTTAATCTGGAGTTGTAGGTGCTGTTCTGTGTTTTTTCTATGGTTAAAACTGTTATTGTATATTATGTTTTTTCTTTTGTATTTTAGAACCATCAGAGAAATCAGAACCTCTTCTTGAATGAGAATCTGATGTCTTTGTGTTCGTGATTGATTATTAACAAAATGGTTATCCAATTTCCATTTTATCCTTACTCATATAATCTTATGGAATATAATTAGGAATTATTGGTCCAAGATAATTTGATGTAGGTTTATAAGGTTATCTTTTAGCTTCAACGTGAACGTTAGGTTCTTCTATAACCCAAGAACTATCTTGCAATTATTTGCGAACCCTTATAAAATTAACTGAAAATAGTACCTTTTTTCTTATTCTAAATGATAGAATGCACATTCTCCTAACTTCTTAGTACAATTTGATTGAGTACAAGGTTTTGTTTTATAAATTAGAGGATGATATTCAAACTCCTTCCAGCCATGACAATATTAACACTCTTCTTAATCTGGACATCCTCCTTTATCATAATTTAAAATTTGATGAGTTTTATTCCAATGTGGGCATTCCTTAGGTTACAATTTTTTTGGATCTCTTCTAAAGTCTTAAGCATTGTGAGCATAAACACATGATGCTCTATCATGACTATTAATGTTTTAAGATAAAAATCTTACTTAATTGTAAGAGGACACCAGACTGTCTTATATTGATATATCCAGAAATTTTTGTCTTGAACCATTCCATCCAATTTAACTGGAATAATCAATTCTTGGTCATTATGAGCAAACGAACAATATACTCCATAATCACAATCCTTTATGTGAGTACAATATTTAGTCTTGTATCTATTAGGATGGTACACTTGCTCTACTTTGTTATGAGCGAATTAACATTCATCACCTTATGGACAATTGTCAGCCTAAGGGCATAATTAACATCTGAAATTAAAATTTCACATTTCCATTACTTATAAGAATAATATTTGAGATCTCTTCTTCGATCAGTTTCATCATGAAAAAATGGACAAAACTTTTTTTGGTTTATTTGATGCTGAATCTAACATTTTTAAGTTTTAAATAAATGATGGTCTATATGTTGTTCAATTCTAACTGGTGAATTAGGATTGTAAACATCTAAATTAGTAAGTGATGATTCGTGTGAACGAACTCTTCGACTTCCTAGCATTCGTTAATAAACTATTTTTATAATAACTATTTAATCAACTCATCATCATCATAAAAATTATAAAAAAAAGTTAGTTATAACAAAAATTTGAATTCTCAAAAAATAATACAATCCAATCTCATTTAAAGATGATTATTTAAATATTTTTAATTTCATAACTTAATTGAGTTTATTGAATTCAAATTAATACTACCCATACCTTAAAATTATCTATTTTTCAACTTTCCTTTTTCCTTCTTGAAATTATCTCCTCTTGTAAATTTTAATTTTTCATTTCCAAACTCTCCATATTGATCCCCTTCTCCAAATTTCTTTTTAGCCTCAAAAGTATTATCCCTTAAATGTTCAGGCAATTTTTCATAAACTGTTTCATCACATTTTTAGAAAAATCTCTTCTTCTCTTTTTAATCTACAACTTCATCATTTATTGGTATTTCTGAAAATTAAATATTTCAATACTATTCATTTAAGTAAATGTTCTTTTCTCTGACAATACTTTTGTCTATTATTTATTGTTCTTCTCCTCCTATTTTTGTTATTCAGTTTCCTCTTCTTGTTCCTCTTCTTATTCATCATTTTCAACTTCACCAACAAATTTATTAGCAAGTTTACTAATTAATATTTTATTGCTCATTACGGATGCCCTTCAACATAATATTTGATTATCTTTGATAAATCCTTGTTTGCCATTGGAGTTTCATCATGCTCATATAAAGAATCAATTTGCTTTGCCGATTTCTTTAATCCAATAGATCTTAAGTATTCTACTATCAATGGCAATACATCTTATGGAGTCAGGTCTCTTTACATCAAAATAATAAATGGAATTTATTTTAATCACACAAAAATCAATATTAAAATTTTTATGCAATAATAACAAATACAAAAACAAAATTAAGCTGCCTTAAATTAAGAATAAGAACTCAAACTTAAATAACAATAATAAGAAATTTTAAGCAACATGCACTAAATTAATCAATAATCGGCAAATACAATGCTTACAGTATTTTTTCTATTAATCATTTAAATTAGCTTCATAATCAAGGGTAAAAAATCGATTAATTTGAATAAAATTTAGATAAAAATTAAGAGAAGCTTCATAAAATTGATTACATTTTGGATATTATTAAATCTCCCTGGGGTTAATTTAAAGCCTTATTCAAAAAACCTAAAACAGAAAAGAATGATTAAAATGATAAATTTTAAAAAAATTAACAAGAAATTCAATAACCAAACTAACTTGAAGTTAATGACATTTATGATGAAATGATTAATCAAACAAATTAAATGAAATATTAACAACTTCTAACTAACTAAACCATAAAAAATCAAAATTCTTAATTGGATAAAATCAATTAAAAGGCTGATAAATAAACTGTTCAGATGGCCTAATAAAACCAAAAAATTGAAAAGATTATTAAATGAGAAACATTAAAATATAAAATATCTTAATAATCAACATTTATATAGTTTATAAATTTATTTAAAAGAAAAATTAATGTAGCAATAACAATTCATTAATTTTTAGCTAATTACAATAATGTATTTAATTTGTTTAGCCTAACATCTATGCCCTATAAGTCTTCTGTAGATGGATCAATCTAATTTTAAGAGTTTGTTGCTATTAAGGAGTTCTCTTTATTTTTTTCTCTTAGATCTTTTAATCTTTTAATTAAACGTTATTCTTCTGGATCTTCTTATTTATTTGAATTTTATGTCTTAGGAAGATTTTTATTTTAAAATTATTATTTTGAAATCTGTTATTTAATTTATTAAGATTTTTTCTTCGATGAAGTCGATTTTGCAGAAGAACTTCATTCAGTTCGTTTTGAATTCGATTTGCGTCTAAATGAAGATTCAGTAACACTATCCTAGCTATTTTTTCTCAACTTTTTTTATTAGAAAAAAATACCCTTATTGGAGTTGTCTTTTCAACACTTTTCCTTTTAGAAGGATTAATAATACAATGGATTGACCTTTTTTAATTATGATTAGATTTCGATAAAGATGGAGAACGAGAAATATTAGAGTGATATTTGGATTTTGATTTATTGAGAGTTTGCTATAATTCTGATTCCAAAGAATTTATTCTTGATTTATTTGTTTTATCCTAATTCTTTAAAACTTAATTTTCAGCAAATAATTATTATAGACATTCTTCTAATTCAATTATTTTTTTTGTAATTTCTGCATTTGTATTTTCACTTTATAAATATTTAAATCTGAGTTCATTATATTCTTATTTGTTAATCATAGTATTGAAGGATTTGAATCATTTTTTTTGAATCTTCATAAAATAATAGATTTTTTTGCAATGATTCATTTTCTTTTCTTAATCTTATGATAGTATTTTTCATTTATTATAAATTTGGCTAATCATTAAAATTTAATGGTAGAGGATAATGGATTTTATCAAATTCTACAATGTAACTCAGTATAAGATAACGTTTATTATTTGGAGCTAGATTTTGAGTTTTTAATTATTTAGATCTTTTATTTTTAATTTATTCTAAATCTGAATAAGTGAGAATGTCAATGTATACAGTTTCCGTTTAATTATTAAAAGCAGACGATAACATTTTTAGAAAGGTTGTGTATTTCTTATAATTTCCAGTTTTGGAAGCGATTTCTTCAATATATTAAGCCTAAAAATTAGCAATCCAAGAATCTCCTGTTTATTTGGATTCAACTTCAATGTTAAGAGTTTCCTGATTGGCATTAATGTTTATAATGTAATTGACATCATGAAATGAACGTTCAGCAAAGATATCTAGGAGATCTTCCATTTTGAATTATAAATCAGTTAATTTAATAATCAGATTTCAAAATCAGGGATAATCACATGAACTTATCTATTAGACCAATAGGGTAATTCTTCAGCAATCTATTAAGCTTTAATGATAAGTTCTAAATATTAAAAATTACATTACATTCTCCTTCACTACTTCTATTAGGCATCTTCTTCAACATGCTTCCCAATAATTGCATACACAACACTTTATTGTAAGAATCTGAATTCTCAAGCATTTATAAAACAATTCTATACATGCTTTCTGCTCTATCAAACTAAAATTAATTATGATATTTATTACATATTTATTTGTACTGCATGTCCAAGCTAAAAATAATAGAGATCTATCCATATTAGTTGGATCTTATTCTTCATAAAAGTTGATAGTAGTTTTCAACCAAAATTATAATTCAGTACGCTTTGATGGGGCTTTGTTTAAAACAAATTCACTTAAGTTAAGTAATGGTTTTCCGACATGTAAACTTTTAAATTAAGTTTTTGTTAGATTAGTTCTATCTTATGGTAGTAAATCTTCATTTAGTAACCATTCCAACCCTGTTTTTATTTGATTGTTTGAATGCTCAATATAATAAATTGACTTTTTAAATAAGGGTATCACATTTTCAAAATCTGAATCTATATTTTCAGCTGGTATACTCTATTCAGGTCCTGTTTCCTCTTCATCATCACTTACAAATTCTCTAAGACTTGGAAATTTATGCCACCATGATGCCACAGCCAAACTATTATAAGCCCAACCTTTTAATTAATTAGATGGTTCTGAAGCCAAACATTCTCTCAATCTTGATTTTGCATCTGTATAATTTTCTTTTAGTAAATAAGCTGTCTATTAATAGTGATTAAAGTAATACTCCCAAGAAATATAAAAACTATTTCTAATATCCTAAAGGCACATTTTCTCGTTGCATTTCACTTAATAAAGCCTTTCCTAAAAGTATTGCCTTGTTTAAATTATATTTCAAGCAATGAGTCAAAAGATCACTATATGCAGAATAGACCAGAGCATAATTTGCTTTTTGCCTTAAAAATTGCCTAATTATTTCTTCTAGTTGTGCTTCAGCATCTTCATATCTTCTTATTTATAAATTAGAATAGACAATTCTATCTATACATAAAAGATTTACCTTCTTGATACATCAACCCATTCCTTATCTTTTAAATTATTTGTTTCTAAAAAATTCTTAAATCTTCCAAAAAATTGAAGTGCCACTCTATATTTACCGTGTTGCATCTACTCAAGTCCATATCAACCACAAATATAATTAATTCTATACTTATATTATTCTGTTGCCAATACTGTTGAATACATCTCATCTTATTGAGTTTATATAGGCTCAATTGTTTAATTAAAATAAAATCTGGGAGTGCATTTTTGCATTGTGATTACAGAATTACGAACAATTTTAAAAAGCATTTCAATAATAAATAAATTAATAATTTACATGTAAAAAATATGATCATTACAAATATATCAAGACACTTTTGATGTAAACTATTTCTAAAGACTAACAATTTTGTTTTTTGCAAAAATTAACCTTTTTATTAGAGATATAATAAAAATAATTTTAATCAAAAACCAATGATTGAAGATGACTTTTTAAATGGGTATAGATCAAAAAATCATATGATTTCTGAAGGGTATGCATATGCTATTTCAGCGGATTGGTATAGCTAAATTTTCATTTATAGGTATAGATAATTTTAGAGATACTTAAAAAACCCATCAGGTGTTGATGCTTTAAGATTCAATAAAATTCTGAATTTTAACATTATAGAGAGAGTCATAGATAAGTCACCCTCATTAAAATAATATTCTATTCCTCCATTTAAATAAATAAATTATGAGCATATTTATGGATTATCATAAGATGCAAAACCAATAATCGATTTTTTTGTCGTTTCTATTGATGTCTGGCACTATTTTAAAAAGCATTATACTTCTGGTATAAATTATAATCAATATTGAAATTAGATTACGATATAATTGTTTTTGTTACGAAACAGCATCCCCAAATGCAAAAATATTTTCTTTGCGATAATTTGGATGAGGGATTGTGTATTTGCAGGGATGTTATAAATGTTCTCTTTATAATTGTGTTTCCAAGAAACTATGATAATTTGCAAGCAATAATAACACCTTTATGTCCTTGGATGGATTTAATTAAATTTCGCACTTTTATATTCTCAATGTACAATTTGGGAATTGATACTATCAAATTTAGTAACGAAGCCTTTCTCTATTACAATAACAAAAAAGTGCCATTTAGAGGAAATAGAACACTAAATGAAGTTGAAATAAACCTAGACATTTAGATTGTCATGGCTTGTTAAAATTTGAAAATGCAAGATTTTGAGGAGGAAATTGAAATAGATTTCGAAGAACAGTAATAATTAAAAAGTAATTATTATCTTAATTATTCTAAGATTTACAGAATAAGTAAGAATTTTTAGAAAAATTGGAAAAAGCACTTTGTGAAGAGGCTACTATTAAATAGAATATAAAATCGATTTCAGAAATTTAATAATCTTTAGAGTAAAATGACTTTTTTTAAATTTGAATTTATTATATATATTTCTAAATATATATTAGAGTGAAAAAAGAAAAAAGTATTTGACTTAATTTATCAAAAAATGTTTGCTTGTAGTAATGATTCCAGATTAAAATTGGATGAGACAAAGAAGAACTTTGTAATCAAGTAATCATTTTATTAATTAAATAATAGAGAGCTTGTTCTACAACATCATCTCTTTCTATTCTTAATATATTCCAAATTTTTGGTAAAAGAATTTTCTTATTTTAGTAGCAATTTGAAGATAAAATTCATTCAGAAGATGGAAAACTCTTGGATTTGTTATCAGAAATAAAATTTATAGAACTCTCAGATTCAAAACCTTAAATGAACACTTTCCAAATTAATAATGATGAATCTGTCAAGTTGAGATGTAAATCCTAAATTTTTTTATAATTTTTAGATGCCTTATCTTATCAGATGATATAAATAATCCATAAATATCACATCTAATATATTTGACATTATTTTAATAATCATAAACAACACTATCTTGAACATTATAATTTGATGTTTATTTTCCAACTCCATAGATTATTAATAAAATCTATTTTTAAAATGCTAAATTATATAATAAGTAAAAATTTAATGAATAAATTAAGTTAAACATTGCAAAATATATAAGAAACATGTATATAATATATATAA